CCCCCGCCTCCTCCCTTGCTCACGAAAGGGGGGGGGGGTTCTACAGGAATAGAAAGTCGCGCCGGACCGTGAAGGACTCGTGAAACTGATGACCAAGCTCGCGGCCAAGGTCGACAGCTTGGAGCGTTCTTTTGGGATGCGACAGCAGGGCATGCCGATTACGCCGCCCAGACATGAGGCCGGAGTCGGTCAAAGCGTGTACCGTCAGGCATTGCAGCAAGGAGGCAGCTTAGGTATGCATCGCATGCAAATGCATGAGCTCGGCGCTTCAAACTCCGGCATGGGTGTGCAGACGCCAGGCGTACACGGTGGACTTGGTAATGGACATCAAGCGCAAGGTTTATCATTCATGACTAAAGGATCAGCGCCACCACCGCTGCAGTATCCGGCCCAGCAACCGGTGCACAGTATCTAGCGCACCAACCGCCGCCGCTGCATCTCAACGAGAGAGTGTCGTCGGCCAAGGACGCAAAGATCTACATGCGCACTTCGACGGCAGTGAAGTCTACAGTGGACTTGGGAGCGTTTTTGAGCAGCGGGCGCTACTCTTCATCGAGCAGATTGAGATGGCGGAGCAGGCGTGTGGCTACACCTGGCCGGAACGGTATAAGGTGAGCAAGTTTGGTCAGCATCTACGTAAAGGATGAGCTCTTCTAGCAGCAACACATCGTGCGCTGGTGGACCACACAGCCGACGCTTTGGTTCGTGATGGATCAGATGCACTTGTCACTCTAGAGGATGCTCCGACGCAGCATGGAACGAAGCTGTTTGGAGCCGAGAAGACCCAACAGCGATCGTGGAATGAGCACTACCTGTACCTGAATGCTTTCATGATGGCAACAAATGCGTCACCTACGTTGGTAATTAAGAACATCGTCAAGTACGCGGACCAGGACTCAAGGCACGCTTTGATGGCCAAGTGTAACATCACGCAACCAAATCCGCTTAAACAAAGCAAACGAGTTTGATGTGTGGGCCCGGATAATGTCTGATATGGACCGAGCAATGAAGCATGTTGGAAAAGATGTCGTAAATGCGGTGTCCGAAACACAAAAGGAAATGTGGCGATGCCACAACTGCTAGAAGATTGGACACCTGAAGAAGAACTTCCCGGGCCGTTCCACTGGAAACGACAAGAGCAAGTCAGTAAAGTTCGCACTTGCTGTCGAAAACGATGCCTAGGCAGTATCGCTAAGAGCTGGGTCCTGGACAGTGGCGCCAGCCGACATCTCGCCAACGACCCCGCGCTACTGACAAACATAATGGAGTGTTCTGTCGAGTACATCTGCGTGTTGCCGGATGGTCGGACGATGAGTGTGGCCAAGAAAGGATCGGTGGTTCTGCGAGCGACTGTTGATGGCATCACGACTGAGGTAAAGCTCAGTGACGTTTACTATGCACCGAAACTGGCGCAGAACCTGATCGCATACGGACGGCTGACTGCGAAAGGGTGCTCTCTCACCAAGCGCAACGGAAACTTGGCGTTGGCGAAGAGTGACCACGTGATGTTCTACGTTGACCTGGATCACAACGTGCTTGTAGCTAGACTCAACTCGGTAGCCACGACCAGTGCGAAGATGGAAAAACTGATCATGAACGTGGTGGACTCGACAGTCGTGTCGGTAGTCAGCGGATACCTTGATGAGGTCCCACGCACGTTTCGGTCATCTGGCGCTGGATACCATCGAGCGCATGGCGAAGGATGCATCCGGTATTTAGATATTTAACCGTGTGAGGTACCCATGTATGGTTTGTGCTGAGGTCAAGAAAACTCGAGCAAACAGCCGAGCTGGGACACCGGAAAGCACGCACCGATTGACAAAATCGGAAGAGTCATTTGTAGCGACCTGAAGGGTTCGATGACACCGCTTGATCGTTAAGGAAATTGATACTTGGTCAGCTTCCACAAATCAAACTGATGCGAGCGTTTCATGGCAAGAAGGAAGGACCTGGCTGACAAAGGGTTTGAGGACTTTCTTGCTGAATTCGAGAAGAGGTTTGGGTGTCGATTACACGTTCTCAGCACGGATGGCGGAGTAGAACATCGAAACATGGATGTCTTTTGCAAAAAAACGAAGCAGCCCATCAATCGGAAATCAAGCTGCAAACGGGAAAGCGGAGCGGATGCACCGCACATTCCTCAACATGACTCGGTGCATGGTGTTTGGTGCAGGATTGCCGCTGAAATTCTGGGGGTGACGCAGCTGAGTACGCCACCTACATTTTGAACCGGAGCTCGTCACGCGCCAATGAGGCTCGAAAGTCGCCACTCGAGATATTGACTGGTCAAGCGCCAACCCTTTGTAACATCGTGGCTTCGGATCCAGGTGCTCTGTGTTTTGTGACCCTGGTAAGCGCGCCATGAGCAAGAGGGCGTGTGAGGGCGTCATTGTTGTGAAAGCCAACACGACCAAGGAGTACAAAGTGCACCTGCCTTCGGAAAGCAAAGTGATTGTCACGCGCCATGTACAATACATATGCACAGTGGAGGAGGACGCAAGCGCCAAGGCACCAGCTGCTCGAATGCCCACGACGAATGCATCAACGAAAGTATTAAGTACACCCCGCAGATCTCGTCGGGTCGCGCCGCAAGTCACGCCGTCGTGCTGAAGCTGATGGAGATAAGGGAATAAAAATTACTCAGTGGACCGGTAGCTTTGATCGTAGCCAATGACGTTAACCCACATACAGATGACCCGGAGCCGAAAAAACCTATCGGCAGGCGCGCAAGTGTGCTGAGAGTGTACTGTGGGCGGTAGCTGAACAGGAAGAGCTCGCTGCCCTGCAAGCCAGCAACACGTGGAAGATCATCAAATGCAAGCCTGGTGCAGTTCGCTTGCATACCATGTGGGTGTACAAGAAGAAGCAAACGGGCAAAGCTCGACTGGTTGCCTGCGGCAACAAGAAGCTCGGCGTTAATGTTTTCCTCGTGTCTGCGGTTGTGATCACAATGACTGGTGTCAAATTAATTTTCGTCAAAGCGTTTATATGGGGTGCTCCCGCCAGGCATGGTGATGTTTCAAACGCGTACGAAAAGACGACAACAGCGGAGGGCACTGGGATCTTTCTGTTCGTCTTCGACGGACTCGTCATTACGAAAAAAGAGCGGAGGGCACTCGAAGCCGAGAGCGTGAATGAAGTTGGACTGCTTCTCGTGCTGAGCCTGTACGGTTTGTAGTAGGAAGGGTGCCTCTGGCATGAGCACCTACATCGTGTGTTGGTAAAGCTTGGGTTTAGCCAATGTATTACGGACACGTGCTTGTACTTTAAGGCAGACAGCGATGGGATGACGGCTGCCGAGACGTACGTGGACGACATACTAGTGACTGGTACAAACGTCAGCAGGGTCTCCCAATTCTTCACTGTTATGGCTGAGCTGGAGCCCAAGGACCTCAGAAATGCCAGTATTATTTTGGAAATTTGCGTGCAGTACGATGAGCTTAATGGCTACAAGTTCGACCAAGAAGTTACTATTGTGGAGATGCTCACCAAGTTCGGGTTGAAGAAAGCGAATCCAGTATCTGCACCAATCGGAGGAGAAAGCTCAGGCAGAGGCTGATATGGCCAAGCTTCTTCCGCATATGACGAAGGAGACAGCATCGTTGAAGCCGACGGTTAGTATTTCTCATTCACTATTAGGGAGATTGCTGTGGATCGCGAGATGCACGCGCCCGGACATCATGTTCGCTGTACATTGTGCAAAACGTCGAACGCGCTATGCGTATCTCTCGGTACCTTAGTGGCACCCGATCGCACAAGCTCGCAGGTGATGACGAGGCCAAGGAACTCTCGCTCTGGCTGCGCTCATACACTGAGGCTGGCTTTGCGGCTGACAAGGACGACAGGAAATCTGTGAGCGGTGCAGTCGCCCAAGTGAACGATATGACGGAATCACAGCAGTGCAAGAAGCAGGGTTTTGTGGCACATCGACAATCGAGGTGGAGTACGTCGCTGCGACGGTGGGCACACAAGAGCCTATCAGACTGAAATAACTACTGGGTGAGCTGAACATCGCCATCAAATTGCCTATAGACATGCTGGTAGACAATTCAAGCGGTTATCGTGCAAGCGCAGAGCGAAACAAGCTCGGCGAAGGCAAAGCACGTGGACGTCAAGCTTAAGTTCATCCAAGACTGTGCCAAGACGGGTGTCGTGGTGCCAGAGTATGTTGCTAGCGCTGAAATGCTCGCGAACCTGCTGACGAAATTGCTGCTGGCACCACGAAAGAAAGAGCTACGCGAAAAATCAGACTCGTCGACATCGAGTGATCCAAGGACCCCGAGGCTGTAGAGAGAGGTGTTGGATATGTATGGAAAAGCCAGCATACGCGCAAGCGACCGGAGACCAGCTCCCCGTGGGCCTTTTTGGTCGAGAATTTTGAAGCTTGGATTTTGACTAGGTTTCGCTAATGAGACCAATTGAATGAGGCGTAGACATTAGGACCAATCAGATCAGTCTTAGGCGCGTGTCTTTGTGGGATCACGTATCTTTAAAGTTAACGTGTAGTGTGCATGTAGAATCCAGCTAAATCTCCTTAAATATATTTCTCACTTTCACTTCTACCTTCTTCAGCACAAGTGCCCGACCAATAGTTAGACGACAAACAGAGAAGCTTTCATCGCTATGTTAAGCAAGTTTCCAATCTAGATTGAGGTTATCACATATTTTGATCGTTACGTAGCAGATCAACCCTATATTAAACCGTACAAAATGCTGTGTCATGTGATACTCGGGTATACCTGTTTAAAATTCGGGATGTTTCACACGATATCATCGTATCTGTCAGTGCGCCTAGGCGTTGGTTTAGAGCGATAGTGGGTCTGGTGAAGCAGTTGCCGTTGTGCATTTTTGTGGCAATATTGTTCCGTTGGATCCAGGCTCTTTAGCCCAGGCAGTCAATTCAACTGCCCGCTCAATCCCGGTTAAGCGGTGAATACATGTTAAACACAAGTCACAAGATGGACTAAAGAATCTAAGGCAAAGAGCTAGGTGTAGACTCGTGATGATACTTCTATTTTATTTCCGTAGAACATAGAGAATGAGTCAAGAAAGTTATCGGATGGTAACTTCTATATCCCAGTGCCCTCCTTGCTATAAGCACCGGAAGTGCAAGCGTTGCTTTTGCAAATTTTCCAAATCGTCGTTAGCACACAAACACGCACGCTCTTTATTAATATTTTGAAGAAGTAAAATTGATCGGTCAGTTGAACCCTATGCAAGATAGGCAGATAGATACTGGGTTCTGCTGCACCTTGAATAAAAGATCGTTGAGTCCACGCTAACAAATGCACATCAGATTAGCCCGAAAGCCACCTCTTGTGTGCAGAACTTAAATACCATAAACTTAATTCTGCCCATATTTAAGGGTATTACATTTTAAATAAGCTGCAACTGATGCGGAATATATATGCGGTTTGTTATTTTAAATACTGAGTTATGCACGGTCAGCAAATTCACGATTCCTACGAGGGCGTCTTGACTCTGATATCTTCCCAATTACATGATACGATACCTATCACGATCCTGGATAATACTTTACATACAGTATTCCACCACGGTAGATAACGCTCGGACTCTTTCTTTATAATTTCGACTTTTCCAAATTAGAAAAGTAATACAGCTAGCTGATTGATATCCCATTTTACCATCTATAATATCAAATTCTAATTTATGCGGTACATGAGGCTCACAGACCATTCACCCAACAAACCTCTCCAACTGCAGAGCCTTTCTTCAACCTATTATTTTATACCAGCAAATGGTACTTTACCATGGGACACGTGATCAGTCCAGGGTATATGGTAAGGCACTATCGTGTTCGAATAACATCACACCACGTCACAAGATTGATCGCTCTGACTGTGCTGAGTAGAGCACTAACTCATCGTAATTGTTGTGAGTAATCGGGCATAAGACGGTCCTGATGTTATATTTTACAAAATAGATGGTCTTGGTGCAGCATAGTCCAGAGTCGTATCTCCCGATTTGAATATATTAAATCCTTGCATCGAAGCTGATGCTATAGCTTCTTTACTGTTTTTGAAACGTGGCACGAACCATCGCCATAGGCAAAAATCGTTCACGCCTGGTAGCGTACACAAACAGATTTGACATCCTAGGCCAAGAAGTCGTAGGGCTTTTGGTATGATTGCTGGTGAAGCCTCGATAAGCGCCACCTGGATACAGCACGGCGCGCAATGAGAGACATGCCGACGATGGAGCAAGGCTCGAAGAAGCTGTACATCACCTGTGGTAGAGCTGGTAAATATAAATAAGA